AACGAGGATGATGATGATGATGATGATGATGTTATTGGCAGACGTTGAGAATATGATACATCACTCATCCAGTGAAAGTTCGAAGGTCGTTTGGCTTTGTTTCTGTAGTTCATGAACTTTAATGTTTCTGGATTCTCATTCGAGTCCTTCATTAATCCGGTTAGTGTTTGATGACATTGGTGTTAATATTCATCTGGTTTAATTAGAGGTAATATTGACCTGTGTTGATGAATCTCACAAGAACACATCCAGCTTATATTTCACACCGAAACCCAGTGGCAAAAATATATTTAGCTTTGCTTACTCATCCAGTGAAAGTTCGAAGGTCGTTTGGCTTTGTTTCTGTAGTTCATGAACTTTAATGTTTCTGGATTCTCATTCGAGTCCTTCATTAATCCGGTTAGTGTTTGATGACATTGGTGTTAATATTCATCTGGTTTAATTAGAGGTAATATTGACCTGTGTTGATGAATCTCACAAGAACACGTCCAGCTCGTATTTCACACCGAAACCCAGTGGCAAAAATATATTTAGCTTTGCTTATAGTATATATATATATGTGTGTGTGTGTGTGTGTGTGTATATTTATATATATATATATATATATATATACACACAGTATATATTTAATTAATACATCAGAGCCTATTATGCTCAATATTCTCAACGATTCTCATTAGATTCTCAATTCTGTAATAGTCATTTTTACAATAAAAATAAACTTTATACATTAAATCAGTAAAATTAAAGGAACAACAACAAAAAATCCCCATTTCAGTAATTCATCACAATAATGAGATTTTGGGGCAAATTTTTTTTTTCATGAAAATAATGTAAAAAAAATATCTGTATAATCTTAATTTCTTCCTTCAGTCTTGTGATTTCGGGGTGAAATACGCGCCGCTCGTGTTCTTCACAGGTTCAGCGAGGGTTCGTAGTGTTTAAGTTCACATGGCTTCATCACAAACATGCAGCGTATATAAACAATACAAAATCATTATCATACAGTGGGATAAATTATGTTATAAATATTATGTACATGCTCTTTTTTACACTGGCTAGTGGTATAAAGCGAGGAAACATGCGTCCTGATGAGGGCTTCTGATCGGGGAGGTCACACAGTTTTGGCACCAAACAAACACAATGACCAGCATTGAACCGTTTGACCCCTGACCTCTGAGCAGCTGCAGTAAACATGCTCCTTCAGGTCAGCCGTGACTTTAACACCCATTCACAGTGAGGGTTAACACGGTAAACGTCTAGTAAATGTGCGTCTGGATCCAGGCAGCGCTCGCCTAGAGACAACAAGACTTCAGATTAATATGTACTGTGTGTACAGTCAGACAATATTCATCTGAAATCAAATTTGTTTCATAATTGAACATTCAAAGTCATAATTATGAGGTGAAAGGGCAAAATTATGAGAAGTCAAATATGACAAAAATGTAAAACTGACTTTAAAAGTCGAAATTATATATATATATATATAAAATAAATGTCTCTGGCCTTCGTCTCGGCGTTCAGCTGAATCGCCGTGGTAACCTTGGCGTGGAGCGGCGCGTGAACTCTGATGACGCCGTCGCGAAGGTCGGTGACCTGAAGAAAGCAGACAGGTTTTATTTTATACAGTTAATAATTAGTTCCAGTAATCACCGAGACTTTTCACCGTTTGTATCACTCCGCTGACAGCGTACGCACGCCTTTGTTACGCCGAATCTATGAATGAGTCAACTCCGAAAGTAGAAACTAAACAAGGTAACTTATTGAAATTATTTACGCTATTTTATCCAGAATCTCTCCAGACCCTTCAGATTTCCAGCTTCTCCTCACTCATGTTCTACAGGGTTCAGGGGTCAGGGGACTGGAATGGCCAGGGCAGAATATTCGTTTTGTGTTCAGTGACCCATTTTTGCTTTGATTTTGATGTTTGTTTTTGGATCATTGTCCTGTTGGAAGATCCAACCATGGCAGTTTTTAATTTTTTATCTGTAGCTATTCGATAGAATCCACGATGCCATGCATCTAAACAAGATGTCCAGGACCTCCGGCAGAAAAACACACCAACAGCATTAAAGATCCAGCAGTATATTTCATTGCACACATGGGGTACTGTTTTACTCCGGTGTGCACCAAACCCGTCTTGAGTGTTTGCTGCTAAAAAGCACATTTTTAGTTTTATCTGACCATAGAACCCAGTCCTGTTTGAAGTTCCAGTCGTGTCTGGCAAATGAATATGCTGGAGTTTGTTTTTGGATGAGAGCATTTTCTTAAATACAATGATTTTTTAGGCTTTCTTGACCCCTAGACTCAACTAATCTCTGCTATTCTGCAGCTGTGGTGCTTGGAGAGCCACTCAAACTCTCCTCCTCGCCGTGCATTAGGACGATATAGACACACGTCCTCTTCCAGGAAGGTTTGTAACATCTTTAGTTGATTGGAAATTCTTAATTATTGCCCTGATGATGGAAATGGGAGTTTTCAATACTCTACTCTTTTCTGAAAGCCACTTTCTATTGACCTGGAGAGCGAACTCTCTATAGACGCAGGTAACCGCGCACACACTCTCTCAGTAATACTCTTTAATACTGTACCTCGAGAAGCCCAAGCCCTCGTAGCTGCTTCTAAAGTGACTATGTAAAGTGAATTAGTATTTGTTAAACTCTCAGCGGCCGTTCACATGCGGTTTTTATTCACTGAGCTTCTATTCCATCTACTCGTTTTCTTATTTATTTAAAAAACACTTAATCCTTTAACACTTGCACTCTTTTCAATACTTGCTTTCTTTTTATTTAATAAAAAGAGTAGCTCTTATGGTTATGGATACTACTAGGCCTTGTTCACGGAGCAATAGCTTCGCTACTGCAGTATTTTCCAGTATTTATCAAGTATGTTCCTGCTGTATACAGTCTGTTAATTGTACAAAATAACTCAAAGTCAAATACAAACAGGCCTTACTTAAAAATCACAGACTTTTGAGAATCAACTTAAAATAAATGAGCACATTTCACTAATTATATTAAATCCATTGTGTCATAGATTAAATAATTGAGGAGATGTTATGTGATTTATTCGGGTAGATTCCGTTAAAAATTCAAGCCTTAAAACTACTCGATATACTACTACATCATTTTAAAACACCAGGGATTCCCAAACATTTTCATCAGCTGAACCCAGCTCAAATATTTACCTCCTCAGATTTTAAGTTAATATTTCAATACATTTTAATGGGTTGATGGTCACATGAAATGTTAGCAAACTCATTTTTATTTTTGACATTTTTATGATGTATGAGGCCCTGCAGCTCCCTCATCACTACACACTCATCTGCACTCACTTCACTGCGCTCGCGCTCCTTCTCCGTGCTCCATCTCTTCAGTAGCCTGCTCTTGCTCTTCTCTGAAGTCGGCAGTTTCTTGCCCATGGCCGCTTCGTACATTTTCCTGACGTGAGAGATCAGAAAACACGGGACCTGTGGATATGAAGAGCAGACATCAGAAAACAACGACTTTAACGATCTGAGCATCACCTGCACCTGTTTATCAATCTCAGTTTTCAGCTGATTTCAGCACAGAGATTAAACTGAATTATGAGAATATGGGCACTAAACGCATGACATCAAACCGGCCTAAACCTCTCTATTCTGGCACCTTCATGCTCATGTGAAGACTTTACCCACACACACACACACACACACACACACACACGTTTACTCAACTATCGAAATAGGGACATTCCATACGTACACTAGCTCACACTAACACACAGAAAACCACCTGCATTTTAGAGGACATTTCAAATGAGGACATTCCTAGAGGTTTTGTCAGATTTACACTGCTGTTCAAAGCTTTGTGATCAGTAAGATTTTTATTGTTTCTTCTGCTCATCAAAGCTGCATTTATTTGATCAAAAATGCAGTAAAAATAGTGAAATATTATTACAATTTAAAATAAGTGTTTACTATGTGATAATATTGTAAAACATAATTTATTCCTGTGATCAAAGCTGAATTTTTATCATTATTACTTATTACCACCATTCAAAAAATTAGGGTCGGTACATTTTTTATTAAAACAATTTTTTTGAAAGAAATTAATACTTTTTTCAGCAAGGATGTGTTAAATTGATTAAACAACACTTATTTCAAATTGTAATAATATTTTACAATATTACAGTTTTTTCTGTATTTTTGATCAAATAAATGCAGCCTTGATGAGCAGAAGAGACTTCTTTAAAAAGTATTAAAAATCGTACTAATCCCACATTTTTTAATGGCAGTGTAGCTCATGTCTGGGGACAAATTTGGCCTTAAAGCAGGGGTCTGGGACCCATTAGGGGCCCTTGGCACACTTCCAAGGGGGCCAAAAGATGGCTTAAAATATGTAAGACAAAATAAGGTTTAAATAGACTAAAACAGCTACAAAGATGTGAGCTGATATCATATATCTTATTTATTATCATTTAATACATTTTCATTTAAGAACCAGGATGTAGATAAACTATATACAAAATATAAATTATATACACACATTTTGTCAAGCTCTATAATAATTTATTGAGTCAAAATTTATATTTGTGCACGAAAAGTAATTTTAAAAACCCTGAAATCACTGTCAATATAGTTTTTATTCATTTTTATTTCAATTTTAGTTTTAGTACATCAAGTTATTAAATTAAAATTAAAATGGCAACTAGCTCAAAATAAGTGTAATTTTATTATATTTCATTTCATTTTTTTTTTTCAAATTACAGAATTTTTATTGGTTTGAGTTTTAGTTAAATATAATAACCCTTTCCGCGAACAACTGGTGGAAGTATGGGATTTAATTATTCTAATTATTTATAATAATTTTATGTATTTATTTTAATATATCGCCACTCCTAGTTTCTTTAAATAAAACGTTTGAAATATCTTTGAGGATATTCAAATATTGTCTTTGACAATGAGGGGCCAAGAAGCTTAAGAACTGCTGCCTTAAAGTATAATTATTTAGTTTTGTGCATCACATAATTTTCAGGAAGCGTTTGAGAGCGTGATGAGATGAACAGACCTTCAGTGTGTCTCTGTTGGCTTCAGGAAGCAGCATGATGAGAAGATGAAGAGCCTGAATCTGATGTTTGGGTGATGAGATACCTGACAGACAGAGAGATCAGAGACGAGACACTGAACAGTCACTAGCTATGTTTCCATCACCCTGTTTTTATGCGCATTTTGAAGTATTGCATCAGAAACCAGTGATTGAAACTTCAAATTTCGAATAAAAATCCCTTAAAGGCACAATATGTCATTTTCGCCACTAGAGGGCGTGTATTCAAAATAAACAAAGAGACAAAGGCGTAGTTTGATGACGCCGTGACTGAGTGTGGAATCATGGGAGTTGTGGTCTTCATCCGCACAGCCGATGCAATCCGACGGGACTCGGGCAGAAATCATGTTCATGGATGAGCTAATGATTTATTAACGTAGTAGAATGAACCAGGGTGAGGCTTAAAGCCGTCAAAGTGAAACGAGGTGCTGAACGAGCGCGACACACGGCTCGAAAGCAGCGGAGCTTTTATTATGCCACAGTCGAGCGCTTCCGCTGCTTCCGGTCGTGCGTATGTGGGGTAAAGCAGCGGGGCTTGAAACGTAGCATCGTTAAAATAGTCCACATGACATCAGTGGTTCGACCGTCATTTTACGAAGCTACGAGGAACTTTTTTTGTGCGCAAAGAAAACAATAATAACAATTTATTCAGCAGTTCTTCTCCCCGAGTTACCGTCTTCCGCCGATTTGGAGACTACCCGAGAACGTAATCAGCGCTGTCTAATGAATGTAACAACACTGATTACATTCTAGGGTACACTCTTTATTCTTTACTGAATAAATTGTTATTATTGTTTTCTTTGCGCACAAAAAAAAATCTCGTAGCTTTGTAAAATGACGGTTGAACCACTGATGTCACGTGGACTATTTTAACGATGCTACGTTTCTGTGCGTTGATCGTGGTAGTTACCTTGCTGTCTATGGGAGGGTCAGAGAGCTCTCGGATTTCATCAGAAATATCTTAATTTGTGTTCCGAAGATGAACAAAGGTCTTACGGGTTTGGAACGACATGAGTGCGACTAATTAATGACACAATTTTCATTTTTGGGTGATATATTCCTTGAAATTCGCAACTCTGTATGGAAACCCGGCTAGTGGGGAGATGTGGATATGCATGTTCAGACTCACTCTGAGCGGCTGTGAACGCCGGCAGGTGCTGTTGGGTCAGCAGAGGATACGGCAGCTCACGGATGAACATCTTCAATAAACCCGCCGCGTCGTTCTGACGCACCCGATCCCAGTCGAAACGATCCTCGTAGAACTTCAGCTCCAGCTCCTGACGCAGATGCTGAGGAGGACAAACACGGAAAGTGGAAGAGGAAACACATGCAAGAAGATGGGAATGAGCTTCTTTTAACATGAACACAGTGTTTTTAGAGAGCCACTTCATGCAAGAGACGCGAGTGCAACAGTCAAACATAGAAAAAACTATGGAAAAGCAGCGCACGCGAATAAAAAAACCTGTGAAGAGCTACTACTGTATGTCTGATATTTCATGTTTGCATCACGGTGATTAGGTTTGTAGAAGATGTAGTTCATGCATCTTTTCTGCAAAGATATTTAACAAGTGATTTGTTTAACATTTACATCATGTTCACAACTTCATGTGTGCTGCATTTGGAATAGAATTATCTTTAACTAGGGGGTTAATAAAGAACAAGTTACTTAAATCATGTTGTAGTTACATTTTAAAGTTGACTAGTTAAAAATCGTTAAAAAATAATAATAATTTGAGAATCGGTCAAACATTCTAAAAAAAAATCAAGATTTAAATTTTTTGCCATATTGCCCAGCCCTACAAAACAACAAACAAAAGATCTTCTCCTCAATAACCATAAAGTACCATGGTGCTTGCATGACTTTTTTTTTTTTTTAGATATTATACAACAGCATTCCAGGATCAGACATCAACATTCAGACTAGCTATGATATGGCATAGAATATCACTTTTTTTTTTTTTTTTTTAAATTTCACGATTTTTTCTCATGTCGGGTTTTTTCATTTCGCAAATTGAGCATAACAGCCAAACTAATTTCCCTATTATAAAGACGAAGCCTTTCAAGCTAACAAAATATAAAAAAGAATGGCGGATATTTAGGCCAAAGTGGGTGAAGATAAAAATCTTTGTCATTATTTTATCTTTGTTATTAAAAAATGAGAACAAAGATACACATTACAACTACACATAATACACAAATAAAACAAACAGTGCTTTATTGTCAGGTACAGTAGGTGTATTTAGCAGCAGCATTCAAGAAACTCAATCAACAAATATAAAAATAAAACACTATATAGATTGATTCCTATTAAAGCAACTGAGTGATCACTAAGAGTGATTTTTCTCTTAGTGTTGGTTTATTAACATTAAAGGAATAATTCGCCCAAAAATAAAAATAGTGTTTTATTTTCATACCATCATTTACTCACTCAAGAGTTGTTTTAAACCTGAATGAGTTTCTTTCTTGTGCTGAACATAAACGCTATTTTGAAGAACGTGGAAAACCAAACAGCTGCTGGTCCCCAGAGACTTCTATAGTGTTTTTTCCTAAATATCAAAGTCAAGTGTGGATCAGCAACTGTTTGGTTACCCACATTCTTCAAAATATCTTCTTTTGTGTTCAGCACAAGAAAGAAATTAATACAGGTTTGGGACAACATGTGAGTGAGTAAATAATGACAGAAATTACATTTTAGGGTGAACTATCCCTTTAATGACAGTCAGCAGCATGTTTAGTACTGTCCCTTTAAGAGCTGCACACATCTAATATACAGACATGCATCCTTTCTCTCTCAACTGTTTACTTTCACTTTAGACATAACCTACTGAGTCTATATGCAAACCTTGTGTGTTTAGACAGTATTAGCGCAAAAGATAACTTAGTCCAGTAATCAGGCGCTGTTTAGATCTGGATCTTGTGTTCTGTAGTGAGGACCATCTCGCTTATCGAGAGAAAAGCTGCTCATAACTGCTGGTCCAGGATCAGTCTTTTCCACAGTAATTTAAAATGTTGAGCGTGGCTGTCTCTAGATCAGCAGCTGTGGAAAACGTGTTTGCACGGCACGCGCAGAGAAAACTCATTCATACAGTTTTTAGAATATTTTAGCAAATTTACAGAAACATGCAGATGGAGTGCCACATCGTCACTGTACAGAGCAATGATAAAAATCTTTGTCATTATTTTATCTTTGTTATTAAAAAATGAGAACAAAGATACACATTACAACTACACATAATACACAAATAAAACAAACAGTGCTTTATTGTCAGGTACAGTAGGTGTATTTAGCAGCAGCATTCAAGAAACTCAATCAACAAATATAAAAATAAAACACTATATAGATTGATTCCTATTAAAGCAACTGAGTGATCACTAAGAGTGATTTTTCTCTTAGTGTTGGTTTATTAACATTAAAGGAATAATTCGCCCAAAAATAAAAATAGTGTTTTATTTTCATACCATCATTTACTCACTCAAGAGTTGTTTTAAACCTGAATGAGTTTCTTTCTTGTGCTGAACATAAACGCTATTTTGAAGAACGTGGAAAACCAAACAGCTGCTGGTCCCCAGAGACTTCTATAGTGTTTTTTCCTAAATATCAAAGTCAAGTGTGGATCAGCAACTGTTTGGTTACCCACATTCTTCAAAATATCTTCTTTTGTGTTCAGCACAAGAAAGAAATTAATACAGGTTTGGGACAACATGTGAGTGAGTAAATAATGACAGAAATTACATTTTAGGGTGAACTATCCCTTTAATGACAGTCAGCAGCATGTTTAGTACTGTCCCTTTAAGAGCTGCACACATCTAATATACAGACATGCATCCTTTCTCTCTCAACTGTTTACTTTCACTTTAGACATAACCTACTGAGTCTATATGCAAACCTTGTGTGTTTAGACAGTATTAGCGCAAAAGATAACTTAGTCCAGTAATCAGGCGCTGTTTAGATCTGGATCTTGTGTTCTGTAGTGAGGACCATCTCGCTTATCGAGAGAAAAGCTGCTCATAACTGCTGGTCCAGGATCAGTCTTTTCCACAGTAATTTAAAATGTTGAGCGTGGCTGTCTCTAGATCAGCAGCTGTGGAAAACGTGTTTGCACGGCACGCGCAGAGAAAACTCATTCATACAGTTTTTAGAATATTTTAGCAAATTTACAGAAACATGCAGATGGAGTGCCACATCGTCACTGTACAGAGCAATGGCACTGCTTTGAGCGAACCAAAGCTACTGGTTCAGTCGCTGCACAGTTAAGTGTGTATCTCACAAGACCACAGTGCAGGGCAATAGGGAATATGCACCATGCATTGTTGACATATTGCTCTATTTAAGAAAACAAGGACTTGCACTGAGAGGGCACGACGAGAGAGATGCTTCTGCAAATCGTGGGAACTTTTTGGAACTGTGCAACTGGTATGCCAGGCAAATCCTCGAGAGTCTGTATGCATTTTTCTCACAACCAGGCACTCACCATGCACACCAGCAGCACCAAAAGAAGCTTGGAGTTAAAGCGGAACTGACAGCAATTGGCGACACGAGATGGGCATGTCGTTGGAAAAATAGCTCAATAAGAGCCCTGCTCTGCACTCTTTCCAACGTATCGTAGGTTTGAGGCATCTGGTCTATTAAGCCATCTCAAGAAGGCCACGTTCTGTGTGTGTCTTGTGGTGTTTTACCATGTTTTTAATATGATCCATGTTGCGCAAAAGGCACTACAAAAGAAAGACACAACACTATCTCAGGCTTCAAGTGTCATGGAATCTACAATAAAGGGCCTTGAGAGTATGAGGACCACTGGAAAGTGGGAAGAATTATGGATCGAAATCGAAGCATTCTGTAATTCACTTGACATTCCAGTCTGTGAAGATGAACGCGATCACACACGTAAGCGAGCAGTGAAAAGAACTGCTACGTTGGATTCCTGTGTTGTCACAAGTTCCTGTTTTAGATACTCTTTTGGGTGAGTGTCAGTCCCGGTTTTCCACCCAGACCATGGAAATAGCCAAAAGTGTCGATGCAGTGCTAAAATGCGATCCAGAAGGCGTACAGTGTCTTTTAATTATTTTATTATTTCTTCAGAACCAGATCGTGGAGAGATTTTTATCGTCCACGATCAAAAATCGTCATATTGCACACCCCTCATTCAGACATGTATCTGGAGCAAATGTAGCATATTCGAACGCTCTCGACATCACGTTAACTCTCTTAAAGCGGCAGCATGTCTTGCACAATACGAGTGTGATTTGACTTTCTAACTTCATTTCTCTCATCCTGAGTAACGCTGAGGACTGTGGAATTAAAGCTGGAATCAGTGGGAGAAATCCAGGTCAGATGCTTTACGGATGTGTCACTGAGCCACATGAGGCAAAACACGGCAACAGCACAAACTTCTGGAGTGATGATGGATCATTTACCTTCACTCTGGACGCTGATCCCGGAACCCTGAGAATCCCCTCCGTCTGTAAGCCCGTCTGCTCCAGTTTAGACAACAACTGAAAGCAGGAACACAAACAACATCGGCAACACATGAGATACACAAACATACAAGCTGGATATTAGCATAGCTTTCTGGACTCTTTCTATGGTAACACCATGTTTTCTGGATGTTTTCTATGGCAACACCATGTTTTCCAGACATCTACTATGTTATCTGGAAATTTACTACGGTAACAATGTTTTTGGGGTATTTACTATGTAACACCATTTTTTGGGGGGATATTTACCATGGTAACACCATGGTTTCTGGATATTTACTATGGCAAACACCATGTTTTATGAAAAATGTAGTACTCCAACACCATGTTTTCCAGACATCTACTATGTTAACACCATGTTATCTGGAAATTTACTACAGTAACACCGTGTTTTCTGGACATTTCCTATGCAAAAACCATGTTTTTCGAACATGTACCATGGTAATTCCACAGTACTGTTTTGAAGTAGCTTGGAGTGGCATGTAAACAGCAGCAGAACGCCGTCTGTGTGCTGTTGTTTTCTGACAGAGATGATTGAGATTCCAGAGTCTTTATCAGTCATTGATAAGAGCGTCAGACTCATCAGCTGTCACACACGCAGCTGTGTGTGGGGGGTTTCTACCAGCCGGGGGTCTCCGTATCGTCCCGTCAGCTCTCGAGTTACCCAACACAAATACTGACGGTGTTGCAATGCTGGAAGAATCTCAGGGTGAGCGGATTCACTGCTGAAGGTTTTTTAAAGCATCTATTTTAATCCTCTGTCTCTGTGTTTCTAAGTGTTTCCTCAGTAAGTCTCTCTCCAGTGACACAATAACCGGCCTTCATCATTCCACTTAAAAACAGAGGCATCGAGGTCAACGCAGGCACGTAAAACAACCCAGAGCACTTCTGGCCACCGCCTTTGTTTTTTTGGAAATCCTCTGTAATGGAGACGAGCGTGGGCCGTCGGGTCAGGATAATGTGAGACAGCGCGCCGCGGCTCCGTCCAAGGATGCGGGAGGGACGAGTATCTGAGCCCTGAGAAGTGCTGACTGGGAACTTTCCACGAAAGTCAGTGCTCGCAATCTCGATCACAACATTCCAGCCTCGTTTCTAACAACCAAAGAAGGAAAGATGAACGTACCTTCTTGAAAACCAGAGGAACTCTGGAACCGGGGTATTTCTTCTGGTCATTTTCCAGCAATGTAGTGAGAGGAACGCCGAATATGCCGCTGTCTGTGGGAACAAAACGACAGCGTTTACAGACAGTTTTACATGCTTTCTGACATTTACAATGGTAACACCATGTTTTTTGCACATTTACGATAGCAACACCATGCTTTCTGGACTTTTACTATGGTAACACCATGTTTTCTCCATATTCACAACGGCAATGCCATGTGTTCTAGGCCTTTACTATGGTAACACCATGTTGTGCAGAATTACTATGTTAATACCATGGCTTTTGTGCACATTTACCATGGTAACACCATGTTTTATGAACATTTACTATGGTAACACCATGTTTTGTGCACAATTACTATGATAACATCATATTTATGGACATTTACTAAGGAAACAATGATCTTTGGACATTTACTATGGTAATACCAGGTTTTCTGGATATTCATAATGGCAACACCACGTTTTTAAAAATATTTACTATGGTAATGCCATGTTTTGTGCACATTTACTATGGCAACACCATGTTTCATGGACGTTTACTATGGTAACACCATGTTTTATGGGTATTACAAAGGTAACACTATGTTCTGTGAACTATTACTAGGGTTACACCATGTTTTCTGCATATTCACAATGGCAACGCCATGTGTTCTAGGCATTTACTATGGTAACACCATGTTGTGTACAATTACTATGTTAATACCATGGCTTTTGTACACATTTACTATGGTAACACCATGTTTTATGGGCATTACAAAGGTAACACCATGTTCTGTGAACTATTACTAGGGTTACACCATGTTTTCTGCATATTCACAATGGCAACGCCATGTGTTCTAGGCATTTACTATGGTAAACACCATGTTTGTACAATTACTATGTTAATACCATGGCTTTTGTACACATTTACTAGGGTTACACCATGTTTTTTGTGGATATTTATTTACTATGGTGACACCATGTTCATGGACATTTACAATGGTAACACCATGTTTTTGGTAACACCATTTATTATGGTAATACCATGGTTTTTGTGGACGTTTACTATGGTGACATCATGTTTTATGGGCATTTACAGTAGTAATCGTATCCTGCTGTCTGTGGGAACAAAACAACAGTGTTTAAAGCCAGTTTTTACATGGCTTCTGAGTCTTGATGTGACTGACACGCACCTCGTGCTTTACTGCGCACCACGCGGTTCCTCTTCATCTCGATGCCCATGAAGTCGTAGAATGTGGTCAGCTCGATCAGGGAGATGTAGCCGATCTTCTTGATGTCCTCAGACGATAGATCGCTCACTCGCGTCACGCCCTGTCTGGGCCTCACTATCTGAAAACTCTGAAGAACAGACCACAAACCGCATTAGACGGCAGCATCTGATCTGAGCTCGCTATCCAGGGAAGATGCTTTCGGTAAATGCTGCTTGTTTGTGTCACGCAACAGAACAAACACTGCCAGTAAGAGGTGCATTATGTAGACCCCATGAGATAGCTGGACAATTTTCTTTCCTGTGTTCATTTGTTTTATTTGGACCAGATATACACTACTGTTCACAAGATTGTTTTTTTTCTTTTGAAAGAAATGAATACTTCTATTCAGCAAGAATTCATTAAATTGATCAAAAGTGACAGTAAAGACATTTTATAATTTTTTGAGCAGCAGATCAGCATATTATACTGATTTCTGAAGATCATGTGACACTGAAGACTGGAGTAATGATGCTGAAAATACAGCTGCGCATCACAGACATACATTACAGTTTAACACAGATTCACACAGAAAACAGCGGTTTTGAATAGTAATAATATTTCACAGTTTTACTGGATTTTGATCAAATAAATGCAGTCTTGGTAAGCATTCTCTCCAGAAAATACCAAAAAGATCTTACCAATCAAAGCTGCAAACATGAGCTAAACAAATAAAACTCTCATGCTGAATTCATGGAGTCTTTACATTTGATGAATTCAGTTTGAAAAATGCCCATTTAAAACTCAAATGAGAGACATTATGACAGATCATCAAACGCACCGGTAAATCCCTGTCGTCTTTACGGATCCTCCTGCAGTCTTGGCATTCCCGGCCTTTCCGATGAGCTCGAGCCGCTTCGGAGTACGGCACGTCAAACGACAGAAGGATGGTCTCTGAAGCGCTGCTGGAGCCGTTAGTGTCCGCTGCACACGCCGGAGGGACTGGACACACAGAGAAACATTAACCAAGAAACACAGACCTTAATCACCAGCGATAATGATATTTCCACGAGCTCTTAACTCCAAAATTGATTCAGACAGTGTCTGAATACATTTTGATTTGACTATAAACCAAAACCATAAACACAGCCACTTTCTATAATAGCTCCTATTTAATCTTGTTCTTCTCTTTTCTGCGTTTCTTCTTTTTGTGAACTAATCTAGCTTATATTTGCCATCATGTACTGTAAACATTGTGTGTCTTATGATAAACTGCTTGTGATGTTCCTAAATGAATGCATGTTAATGTAAATACATCATCTAAACAGGGTCAAACGTTGTCCAACCTTTAGGTGGATTCCACTGCGGCAGTTTGGGAGCGATCTGTCCATTTGGAGAAATGGGAGGCGTCAGTTCAGACTGTAAGAGAACAAAATCACATCATCACACACGGATTCATGAGGTAAACACGCTCCATTCAACGCTAAAATCAACATGCACCACTGCAAACGGCAGTGCAAATAATTGTGGTTAGATCAATAACCATGATGAGAGATTAATCAATAATCAGTTTAGAATCACTCAAACAAATCAAGGTCATCACGTCCCACATGTCAGATATAAATAATTTCAGCATGTGTTAATGTCTGTATAGACGATGTCCTGCTGAACACTGGACATTTGTTGGACTATTTCGGTCACTTTACACTCCTCTAACAGATGCCACAGCATTTAAAACAGTACCATTTACTCTCTGTTCAGTCAAACCTGCTGCCGTTGGTCAGTCAAACAGACATCACTGGTTAGAGTCATGCATGTGATTTACATTGCATTCAAGATACACATGTTATCAGTTCATGCATTCCCTGGGAATCCAACCCATGACGTTGTCGTTGCCAGCTCCCTGATTTACAATCTAAGCTACAAAATGCCACACTATTTGAACATCAGCTTTAACGTCTGTATGAAATTAAAACCTATTTTCTAAGTGCATGCAATTTAATCATGTTAATGTTTTGAGCTCAAATTTGTTTAGTCAAAGTGTCATAACTGGATCTTCTGGCGGTTTTGATTAAACATTACGAGCTCAAAACATGAATGAAACATGCACAAATTAATTGTGTGCAATTAGAAACTATAATTTTTATTTCACGCAATAGTTTGTGGTGTGTCAGCTTCTCTGGTGGCGTATGTCAATCATTTAGTGCTCTTAAACTCCGCCCCTGCAAGCAAAAGCCACGCCCACATCTCAATATCCAATCACCAACCGATGCACAGAACCAAGCCCTGCCCTACAATTTTACAATTGTAACTCATTACATTCAGATGTAGGTCACAAGGGGAACCCCCTCGAAATGCAATTGGGCTAGTTTTGAGTAGAACTATGGCAGGTTTTGTTGCGAAGACCTGGCAACCCTGATAACAACTAATTGACACGCCAGTCAGTGTTGCCAAGTCTGCAGTTTTCCCGCGGAATTAGGCTACTTTAACACTGTTACCATGGGTTGTTTTTCATGTTTTTGGGATTAAGCGATCCCAATAACGTGATATTTAGCCCCTGGACTACGAATTGTACTGGGGAATCCCACCAAAAAAGATGTATTTGTAGAAATTGGGCGGGTGTTGTTGTGAAAACCTGGCAACCCTGACGCCAATGAAACAAGACAGCTGTTCAAAAGTAATCTGATCGGATTTTGACCATCGGATTGGATCAAATCTTGACAATGGGTTGTTCAGAAGAAGAAAAAAAGGATTCTGAATTCAGATTAGATCACAAAAACCAATCTTGGTTTTGATCTGGATTAAATCCTCAGTTTGTGTTGTTCAAAACGTTTTAGTAAGATTGGGATACTTTTGATTAAAATAAACTGGATTATTCTGATCCCAGCAGAAGGGTGGATTTCTGGAACAAATATGTAATAAAACTTTAAAACTGCTCCAAAAAATACAACATTTATAACATGTAATACATCGCCAAACAGCTGTCGATATCAAACAAAACTATTATTTAATTGAAAGTTTGTTTGTTTTTTTTTAATCTCTGATTGTAAACTACATTGGCACAATCATCAGAGATGGAGCAGTCAGAAGAAGTTATTGTGTAAATGCAACGGCATTGTTTTCTCCATCAGCATGTCCCTTCAGGGGCTCCGTAGAGCACTAGTAATCCAGATTTGGAAATCTGAAACAGTGTGTATCTGGATCAGGGTGATCCAATCCAGTTTTGCTTTGAAAAACCAGCACAGAAGTAAGATGGGTTTTCTGATTCTGGATCGCAAAACATGGGATTTCCAAATCCAGATCATTCTGATCCAGATTACACTTTCTGAACAACTGGCCCCTGATTTGAACCAGGCATGAACCCCCGGTTTGTGCTCACCGACGCGTCGGACATGGAGAAGACGTCTCGCACGTGTCTCATGGGCTGTCTGTTCCTCTTGCGCAGCGTCTGCGTGTAGTTATCCAGCCGTTTCTTCACCATAGCAGCCTGTGAGTGTGTGAGCGTGGAGAGGAGAGCCTCCGCCGGGCCGTCGCTCTGTGTTCCTGTCGCCAGCGTGGAGAGCCCCGCCTCCTGCAGCCACGCCTCCTCAAGCTCCGCCTCTGAAACATCAAACACTGATCGTTTTCACGTGACGTCACACACTTATAGGAACGCCCACCTGGAGGACATAACAAAGCTTTGCTCCACTGACCGACAGCTATTTTTACGCGTAATGTTTGCTTAAAACTGCTTTCACACAAAATCTTTCCTCGTCACACAGTTTCTGAAAGCTGACACTCAAACAGCAGAAGCACACAACAAACCTACAGAACCAGACACTAATTCTCAGACTTTAATTTGATAAAACACTTTTTGCAAAACACAACACACAGTTCTCTGTGTAACACACACACATCTAACAGGAATTAATATTACGGCAAAGCTGTTTGCAAATGTTTGCTTTTGAGATGTGTTTGTGATATTTTGAATGCAGCGCTTCGTTTTGCACGAGATGCGAGGCTTTTTGCATTGTTTGTGCAATTCTTGGATTGTGTGTAAAGTTTTGAAAAAAAGAGGCAAAGTTTTGAAAATGTGTGTGAGTAGATGAAAAACACGGTAAAAGTTGAAATTCAGTACACACCTTACTGATGATGCATGCTTTGTACATGCAAGCAGATGAACCCAGAATATAAACGATAAAGAAAACATTGAACCATTTAGTGCATTGTATTCATATTCTGGGCTCATCTGCTTGCCTTTATAAAGTAAGCATTATTCAATAAGGTGTGTACTGAAGTTGTTCTTTTAATATCACCATTTTAAATACATTAAGTGTTTTTCACAATGTTTTGCCATGCTATTTAGTGCTTGAAATATTGCAATAATATAGATTGCAAATGGCCAAAACTTGCATTTTGTTCAGATATCTTTGTTTTGTTCTCTTGAGGTGATGTGAATATGTGCAGCTTGGAAACAGATGGAAAATTGGCAGGCTTGTGCTGCAGCTCTCTGGATGTTTTGCCCTCCAGGTCTTCGAGCCCGTCACGTGACTGAAGGCCATGAATTAAAAGACTCTTAAGGTCTTTTCCGAAATTTTTGCACGTTAAAAAATAAATACGACCTCACGTTGTGTCAAACGCGTTTACACACTGCCTCCGAAACTCTCCTCTGTTCGATTTTCTGTGTTTCTGCATCTGTAGCAAGCATTTTGATAGGAAAGGATGATGAATAAACGCATACAAACATTTCAGCCTCAGTGTGCTTTAGGGCTGTGAGCTATAATGATGACTCCAAGAATACGGGTTTGAGCGAGGGAGTGAATGAAGATCCATACGCACCGTCCACGCTGACGCGCTCCATCTGCTCCTCCGGTCCTCCCTGACGCTCCTCATCGATGCTCTTCATCTCACTCCAGTAGTCCTCCATGGAGTCCCGCTCCAAACTCATGCTGCCTATCCGCTGATACTGCGCCTTCCTGCAGAAACACAGAGAAACTGAACCCATGAGTGTCTGCATCAGGTGCATCTGAGATCATCTGACACACAGACTGAAGAACGGCCATTAATAATCACATTCACTCGATCGGATTCAAACACCCAGATTTACAGTGAAGCCTCGCGGGAAAGGAAGAGGAGGGAAAAGAAGGAAAGAAAGGAAAACAGCATGAAAAGAAGGAAAACGAGACAAAAAAAGAAGAAAAGAAAAAGAATGAAAATGAAAAGAAAGGTAAAAACGAGAAAAAAACTAAGGAAAAATGGAATAAGAAGAAAAGAAAGTGAGGGAAAAGAAAAAAAGGGAAAGAACAAAAGAAAATAAAAGGGGAAAAGACGGACAAACATGAAAGGAAAAAAAGAGATGAGAGACAAAAGAAGAAGAAAAGAAAGAAGGAAAAGGAAAAAGAATGAAAATTAAAAGAAAAAGGTAAAAACAAGCAAAGAAAGAAGAAAAGAGGAAGGGGGAAAGAAAAGGAAAGGAAAAAAGAAGGGGAAAAACGAAGGAAAAATGGAAAAAGAAGAAAAGAAAGTGAGGGAAAAGAAAAAGAAGGAAAGAACAGAAGGGAAAAAGATAAACATGAAAAGAAAAAAGAGAAGAGAGACAAAAGAAGAAGGAAAGAAAAAGAAGGAAAGGAAAAATGAAAATGGAAAAAAGAAGGAAAAATGGAAAAGGAAGAAAAGCAAATGAAAGGGGAAAAGAAGGACAAACATGAAAGGAAAAACGAGAGGGAAAAAGACAGAAAAATGTAATTAAAAGATAAAGGAAAAAGAAGAAAAGGGAAAGAAAAAGAAGGGAATAAAGAAGAAAAGATGAAAATGAAATATAACAGAAAATATCAATACTGGCGTTTCATAGAAAGCTTAACGTTTCTAGTTACTAATTACTCGTTTAAACCCACGACTAATTGAATCCTAAACGTGTTACTGAGATTAAACACGGTCACGTGATCTCAACAGACTTCATTAGAGCACTGATGCGAGTCAGTATCTCTGTGCTAGATCTCTTCATCTGTTAACTCACACCCTATTAAAGACATTATTCATACGACACCTGCATGCTCAGTGAGACACTACAGTATTAGACACAGCTCCACGAGAACACAGCTGAACAAGTTCAAATACAACTAATCTAGTTCAACACCAGGAGAGCGCTGCTGCCAGCTGGACAATTCTGTTGCTAAATCTAGCAACTTTTCAGACTACCCTAGCAACGTTTTCTTCCAAAGGCACCTAGCAACAAATGTAGCTATTTTTAACATTTATTCCGCAACTTTTAGCAACTTTTGTGAAGTGACTCAAACGATAAAAAGGCACATATTTTCATCTAAATTACACAAAAAGAGGAAAGCAAAGATGCCTAGCAGTACACACATCACGGGAATTGAGTTTGCAATTGTTCAATTTAATAATAATGATGATAATTGAATAATTGTTCATTTATGATACACCTTGTTAGCTTGTACCTGCAATTGTTCTTTCCATTGATGTATGGTTTGTTAGGATAGCACAATATTTGAAAATCTGGAATCTGAGGGTGCAAAAAAATCTAAATATTGAGAAAATCATCTTTAAAGTTGTTCAAATGAAGTTCTTAGCAATGCATATTACTAATCAAACATTAAGTTTTGATATATTTACGGTAGGAGATTTACTAAATATCTTCATGGAACATGATCTTTACTTAATATCCTAATGATTTTTGGCATAAAAGAGAAATGTATAATTGTGACCCATACAATGTATTGTTGGCTATTGCTACAAATATCCCCCAGCGACTTAAGACTGCTTTTGTGCTGCAGGGACACATTTTTGCTGAGATTTGATGCAGTGACACAATCTTGCGTAGTGATTACATCATCATGCAATAACACCACAATGTCATATAGCAACAAATTGGCCTTCCTTTAGCAACTTCCGCTGAAAATGAGTTGACAACGCTGAAAGAACATCTCCGTGAGATGCTACAAACAGAAGAAGATCTGAAACAGACAGGATGCTCAAATTAGATTTCTATCAAATATTGATAAGCTGCAGGAGCTGATATGATTGGACTACGAATTGTACTGGGGAATCCCACCAAAAAAGATGTATTTGTAGAAATTGGGCGGGTGTTGTTGTGAAAACCTGGCAACCCTGACGCCAATGAAACAAGACAGCTGTTCAAAAGTAATCTGATCGGATTTTGACCATCGGATTGGATCAAATCTTGACAATGGGTTGTTCAGAAGAAGAAAAAAAGGATTCTGAATTCAGATTAGATCACAAAAACCAATCTTGGTTTTGATCTGGATTAAATCCTCAGTTTGTGTTGTTCAAAACGTTTTAGTAAGATTGGGATACTTTTGATTAAAATAAACTGGATTATTCTGATCCCAGCAGAAGGGTGGATTTCTGGAACAAATATGTAATAAAACTTTAAAACTGCTCCAAAAAATACAACATTTATAACATGTAATACATCGCCAAACAGCTGTCGATATCAAACAAAACTATTATTTAATTGAAAGTTTGTTTGTTTTTTTTTAATCTCTGATTGTAAACTACATTGGCACAATCATCAGAGATGGAGCAGTCAGAAGAAGTTATTGTGTAAATGCAACGGCATTGTTTTCTCCATCAGCATGTCCCTTCAGGGGCTCCGTAGAGCACTAGTAATCCAGATTTGGAAATCTGAAACAGTGTGTATCTGGATCAGGGTGATCCAATCCAGTTTTGCTTTGAAAAACCAGCACAGAAGTAAGATGGGTTTTCTGATTCTGGATCGCAAAACATGGGATTTCCAAATCCAGATCATTCTGATCCAGATTACACTTTCTGAACAACTGGCCCCTGATTTGAACCAGGCATGAACCCCCGGTTTGTGCTCACCGACGCGTCGGACATGGAGAAGACGTCTCGCACGTGTCTCATGGGCTGTCTGTTCCTCTTGCGCAGCGTCTGCGTGTAGTTATCCAGCCGTTTCTTCACCATAGCAGCCTGTGAGTGTGTGAGCGTGGAGAGGAGAGCCTCCGCCGGGCCGTCGCTCTGTGTTCCTGTCGCCAGCGTGGAGAGCCCCGCCTCCTGCAGCCACGCCTCCTCAAGCTCCGCCTCTGAAACATCAAACACTGATCGTTTTCACGTGACGTCACACACTTATAGGAACGCCCACCTGGAGGACATAACAAAGCTTTGCTCCACTGACCGACAGCTATTTTTACGCGTAATGTTTGCTTAAAACTGCTTTCACACAAAATCTTTCCTCGTCACACAGTTTCTGAAAGCTGACACTCAAACAGCAGAAGCACACAACAAACCTACAGAACCAGACACTAATTCTCAGACTTTAATTTGATAAAACACTTTTTGCAAAACACAACACACAGTTCTCTGTGTAACACACACACATCTAACAGGAATTAATATTACGGCAAAGCTGTTTGCAAATGTTTGCTTTTGAGATGTGTTTGTGATATTTTGAATGCAGCGCTTCGTTTTGCACGAGATGCGAGGCTTTTTGCATTGTTTGTGCAATTCTTGGATTGTGTGTAAAGTTTTGAAAAAAAGAGGCAAAGTTTTGAAAATGTGTGTGAGTAGATGAAAAACACGGTAAAAGTTGAAATTCAGTACACACCTTACTGATGATGCATGCTTTGTACATGCAAGCAGATGAACCCAGAATATAAACGATAAAGAAAACATTGAACCATTTAGTGCATTGTATTCATATTCTGGGCTCATCTGCTTGCCTTTATAAAGTAAGCATTATTCAATAAGGTGTGTACTGAAGTTGTTCTTTTAATATCACCATTTTAAATACATTAAGTGTTTTTCACAATGTTTTGCCATGCTATTTAGTGCTTGAAATATTGCAATAATATAGATTGCAAATGGCCAAAACTTGCATTTTGTTCAGATATCTTTGTTTTGTTCTCTTGAGGTGATGTGAATATGTGCAGCTTGGAAACAGATGGAAAATTGGCAGGCTTGTGCTGCAGCTCTCTGGATGTTTTGCCCTCCAGGTCTTCGAGCCCGTCACGTGACTGAAGGCCATGAATTAAAAGACTCTTAAGGTCTTTTCCGAAATTTTTGCACGTTAAAAAATAAATACGACCTCACGTTGTGTCAAACGCGTTTACACACTGCCTCCGAAACTCTCCTCTGTTCGATTTTCTGTGTTTCTGCATCTGTAGCAAGCATTTTGATAGGAAAGGATGATGAATAAACGCATACAAACATTTCAGCCTCAGTGTGCTTTAGGGCTGTGAGCTATAATGATGACTCCAAGAATACGGGTTTGAGCGAGGGAGTGAATGAAGATCCATACGCACCGTCCACGCTGACGCGCTCCATCTGCTCCTCCGGTCCTCCCTGACGCTCCTCATCGATGCTCTTCATCTCACTCCAGTAGTCCTCCATGGAGTCCCGCTCCAAACTCATGCTGCCTATCCGCTGATACTGCGCCTTCCTGCAGAAACACAGAGAAACTGAACCCATGAGTGTCTGCATCAGGTGCATCTGAGATCATCTGACACACAGACTGAAGAACGGCCATTAATAATCACATTCACTCGATCGGATTCAAACACCCAGATTTACAGTGAAGCCTCGCGGGAAAGGAAGAGGAGGGAAAAGAAGGAAAGAAAGGAAAACAGCATGAAAAGAAGGAAAACGAGACAAAAAAAGAAGAAAAGAAAAAGAATGAAAATGAAAAGAAAGGTAAAAACGAGAAAAAAACTAAGGAAAAATGGAATAAGAAGAAAAGAAAGTGAGGGAAAAGAAAAAAAGGGAAAGAACAAAAGAAAATAAAAGGGGAAAAGACGGACAAACATGAAAGGAAAAAAAGAGATGAGAGACAAAAGAAGAAGAAAAGAAAGAAGGAAAAGGAAAAAGAATGAAAATTAAAAGAAAAAGGTAAAAACAAGCAAAGAAAGAAGAAAAGAGGAAGGGGGAAAGAAAAGGAAAGGAAAAAAGAAGGGGAAAAACAAGAAGGAAAAATGGAAAAAGAAGAAAAGAAAGTGAGGGAAAAGAAAAAGAAGGAAAGAACAGAAGGGAAAAAGATAAACATGAAAAGAAAAAAGAGAAGAGAGACAAAAGAAGGAAAGAAGGAAAGGAAAAATGAAAATGGAAAAAAGAAGGAAAAATGGAAAAGGAAGAAAAGCAAATGAAAGGGGAAAAGAAGGACAAACATGAAAGGAAAAACGAGAGGGAAAAAGACAGAAAAATGTAATTAAAAGATAAAGGAAAAAGAAGAAAAGGGAAAGAAAAAGAAGGGAATAAAGAAGAAAAGATGAAAATGAAATATAACAGAAAATATCAATACTGGCGTTTCATAGAAAGCTTAACGTTTCTAGTTACTAATTACTCGTTTAAACCCACGACTAATTGAATCCTAAACGTGTTACTGAGATTAAACACGGTCACGTGATCTCAACAGACTTCATTAGAGCACTGATGCGAGTCAGTATCTCTGTGCTAGATCTCTTCATCTGTTAACTCACACCCTATTAAAGACATTATTCATACGACACCTGCATGCTCAGTGAGACACTACAGTATTAGACACAGCTCCACGAGAACACAGCTGAACAAGTTCAAATACAACTAATCTAGTTCAACACCAGGAGAGCGCTGCTGCCAGCTGGACAATTCTGTTGCTAAATCTAGCAACTTTTCAGACTACCCTAGCAACGTTTTCTTCCAAAGGCACCTAGCAACAAATGTAGCTATTTTTAACATTTATTCCGCAACTTTTAGCAACTTTTGTGAAGTGACTCAAACGATAAAAAGGCACATATTTTCATCTAAATTACACAAAAAGAGGAAAGCAAAGATGCCTAGCAGTACACACATCACGGGAATTGAGTTTGCAATTGTTCAATTTAATAATAATGATGATAATTGAATAATTGTTCATTTATGATACACCTTGTTAGCTTGTACCTGCAATTGTTGATCAGTTAGTACACTGTAAGAAAAATATCTAGAAAAGGCACTAGGGCACTAGTCATTTTCATATTAATAGACATATGCAATGCATATACAATGCGTAATTTAATGCAGGTGAAATGGAAAATATGAAAATATTAACAGTAGATTATGCACTACTTTTAGAGTGTAGCGTACTAACTAACTACTAATACACTGCTTAAAATTGTTCAGAATGTGTCGTTTTACTAGTTCACTAGCTAATTTTAAAAAAACTTAAATTGTTGAAAGTGTTCAATAATTCAATGTTGTTTTTTAAAATACAGTTATTTATATTTTAATGCTATGTTATGCATTTATATCATTTTACGAGCAAATATAAATGAACATATAAAATGTATATGTGACCCTGGAGCACAAAACCAGCCATAAGGATACATTTTTCAAAATTGAGATGTATGCATCAGCTGAAAGCTGAATAAATAATCTTTCCATTGATGTATGGTTTGTTAGGAGAGGACAATATTTGAAAATCTGGAATCTGAGGGTGCAAAAAAATCTAAATATTGAGAAAATCATCTTTAAAGTTGTCCAAATGAAGTTCGTAGCAATGCATATTACTAATCAAACATTAAGTTTTGATATATTTACAGTAGGAGATTTACTAAATATCTTCATGGAACATGATCTTTACTTAATATCCTAATGATTTTTGGCATAAAAGAGAAATGTATAATTGTGACCCATACAATGTATTGTTGGCTATTGCTACAAATATCCCCCAGCGACTCAACACTGCTTTTGTGCTGCAGGGACACATTTTTGCTGAGATTTGATGCAGTGACACAATCTTGCGTAGTGATTACATCATCATGCAATAACACCACAATGTCATATAGCAACAAATTGGCCTTCCTTTAGCAACTTCCGCTGAAAATGAGTTGACAACGCTGAAAGAACATCTCAGTGAGATGCTACAAACAGAAGAAGATCTGAAACAGACAGGATGCTCAAATTAGCTTTCTATCAAATATTGATAAGCTGCAGGAGCTGATATGATGATGATGATGAAGATGATGATGAAGATGATGGCCAGGAAGTGGACCTGCGTCATTTAGAGGAAGTTATCGATCAGCGCTGCACATGATGGAGCCTGAATTGTGTTACATGAAGAGCTTAATTGCTTCCAAACGTCCCTCCCTCAGTTTACACACATCAAGCCTCCGATGGAAACACAATTTCCCTGCCTTTTTCAGCTGGAAAAACATCCCAATCACGTCAGTGAACACAACCTCCTTCATGCACTCCATCAGCGCGAGGAACGTCAGGAGCGCAGAAGAACAGCTTCACAGAAACATGTTTGTGTTTCACCATCGTTTCTCTTTCAGCTCACAGTCCGAGTCTGATCTGAGTCGATACGAACACTAATCTCCAGGAAAACATTTATGACCTGATTATTGCTGATATTAATAAAACCATTCCTGACAAAGAAATATTCTAGGTGAAATGTAACTCTGTTTATTAAAAGCTTGACAAAAACGCAAACAATTTACTTAATAATAATAAAATTGTATTTTTATTTTAATAGCACCTTTACAAAACCTAAAGTCACTTTACAAACTTTGACAGAAGTAATATAATAAAAAAATATATTTCAATGTATATTGTATTTATATTATATATTAAATAATATAAATATATAATATATTAAAAAATAAGACAGCACTTTACTTTTCAAATATCTTAAGCAAATAAAAATATATTATATATATAATATTATATATAAAAATATATTATATAAATTTGTATTTTTTTGTTTTTAATACACTTAAAAGACTCAATGAACATAAGAAATTCAGCCTTAAAGATGTAATTCAGAATTCCTTTTGCTTTTGTGTGTTTGAAAATGTTCTCTTTCATTTGCACCGAAGATAACCAAATCTCAGGCGTAAACACTATAAACACAACCCGAGTTATTTATACATTTATACACATGAGAAAACAATGCAAATGATTAAGAAAGCTCTCAGATTGTGCTCTATTTCTAGACACCAAATACTGAGGCATGATCAAAATATCAGTTATTCTGATAATACAATTACAAATGAGACACTGAAGCAGAACAGAAGCATCTTCAGACTCACGGTGTGTGTTCAGAACTTCAGAGGAACACTGGACACCAGTCAGGATTTGGTACCCAAACGATCAACCTCCAAAAGACACGAGACGACCGAATGAAAGCAGAACTAAACCAGCTGACGGCGTCAATCAGGTCCTGTTCAAACTCCATAAATCCACAGAGTCACAAAGACAAACATAAAAGCACAGAGGATCTCCAGAGAGCTTGAGGAGCGCGTGGCTGTTCTCACTTAGGTCCTGTTCTGAATGGATACAGCATGCGTACCTCTCAGTGCTCAGAAAGACATCAGGAGGAGATGTGTGTGTGTGTGTGTGTGTGAGAGAGAGAGTGTGAGAGTGTGTGTGAGAGAGAGTGTGTGTGTGTGTATGTGTGTGTGTGAGAGTGAGTGAGTGTGAGTGTGAGAGAGAGTGTGTGTGTTTGTGTGAGAGTGTGTGTGTGTGTGTGTGTGTGTGTGAGCGAGAGAGTGTGTTTTTGTGTGTGAGTGAGAGAGTGTGTGTGTGTGTATATGTGTCTGTGTGTGTAAGAGTGTGTATATGTGTCTGTGTATGTGTGTATATGTGTCTGTGTATGTGTGAGTGTGTGTATGTGTGAGTGTGTGTATATGTGTGTGTGAGTGTGTATATGTGTCTGTGTGTGTAAGAGTGTGTATATGTGTCTGTGTATGTGTGTGAGTGTGAGTGTGTGTATATGTGTCAGTGTGAGTGTGTGTATATGTCTGTGTGAGAGTGTGTGTGTGTGTATATATATATATATATGATGAAACCATTTCACCGTCTGATCAGTTAAACTCAAATGAAGTCAAATGGATTGTGAATGTGGTCACATATTGACTAGTTTCGCAGTGTATATCCTAAATGAAAAACTCGTTCACACTGGAAGCAGATCACATTCATGATTACCTGATTAGCGTCTGATCAGGTGAACTCTCATAAGCACGCAGTCTTTAGTTCTGGAGGTCCCGCGGCCCCCCGTGATGAATGTGGGTCAGCGTTGAGGGAAACTAGACTCATAACATGTGCTGCTTGAACCCGAGAAGCTGCTTGAAACACGCAAAAATCATGAGCTCATTCCTCCAGGAACGTGAACAGCTGCAGCAAAGACTCGGATGCTAACACAATTTAACTTTGCTCTGTATTTCAGAAAGGTAAATTTGACAGAACTTGCATGAAATGCGACTTTCCAAACTCTTGAAGGTGTTGTGGAGGGCGTGCATTTATTCAAATCAAACCGTCTCCATCTCTGATGAAGGACTGTGCCAAGCGTCTCCTGGTGAAATATTGGCTCACGGGTTTGTTTTCAGTCTCCGGGCAGCATAAACTTTTACGTTTTCTCAACTTTTGATTGTTTACAGTGCATGAAGTTCAGCATGGTATAAACGCAAAACAAATTCACATTTTGCA